GCAGTCTCCAGGGAACTTGTATAAAACCCCGTCAAACGTGTGAATGTGGTGACTTCCAAACAGGCTGCATCTCCCTGTTTTACCTGCAACGCAAGCTGGATACAAGCAACAAATAAAACCTTTAAGGAACTGACTGAAGAAGAAACACTTGAGGAGATCTATCATGAAAGTAGTAGACTTCAAAAAGTAGACTTCAAGATTTGTCTCTCTCTTATGTCACACTCACCTGTCAGATGAAGGAGAACCAAGACTGCTTGCCAATAACTCCTCACAGACACCTAAAATATAAATATACTCACAATTATCACCCCATCAACCTTTGCCATATTCATCTTCTGATGTTTACTGCATTACTATCTGCACCGTGCACAGTCCTTTTTTTTTTTTTTTTACCTTCATGGCTCCAGTCTCAGTTACTCCACAAAGTTGAAAAAACAAAATCCAATCCCAAAGAGTCCAAGTGTTGCACTTTCACAGACAGTCAAGGCATAATGACACAGTCAGATGGCCTGTATCAAACAATGCTGCGCACAAAGATATTCAATCACACTGGAGGCTTTATTTTATAGCAAAGAGCGTAACCCTGCCCAGCTGTTATTGGCTTTTTCTTAAAACGCCTCCCCCCCCGTTGTCAGGTTGTCGAAAAGGGAAGCCTATCGTTCTGTCCTCAATTCAGTGCCTGAAGACTGACACCATCAAACACACTCAGTGGGACAATAGCAGGATATGCCCACTGATCGCCGGGCTGAGTGATTAGTCTACTCGTACGCATCTGTATCGGCGCCAACCTAAACAATTCTTGTGAATAACACTCTCACTGGAGATATCACACGCAACAGCACTGCTTTGACAGTGTCACATGCACAAACAGATGACTAAGCTTCACCAAAGTCACACACACACACACACATCAAGACGCACACTGGGAATGTGAACAGATCAACACTCTCAGGTGAAAGATTTCGCCAATCATTAGGCAAAAAGACAATAGCAGATTAAGAAGAGAAAAAAAAAAGATTTCCTCACACATACTTTCCCAGTCCATGTCACAAACTATGACTTAGTTTAAAAGTGTCAACATTGTATATCTGTAACCACCTAAACATCTGCATTGTGTAAAAATATATGGCAAAAAGTTGGATGTTGGATGTAGATACTGTCATGACTTGGTCTTGTTTGGTTTTGTGTTTTGGCGTTTGGGTTTCCATGTTTTGATTTCTCTTCTCTAGTGTTGCTGGTTTTTCTGTGTTTTGTTGTGTGTTTCTTAGTTTAGTCTTTAGTGTTTCAAATCCTTGTGTCCCTCTCTGTTCTAGTGTGTCTTGATGTTTAACAGTGTCTTCAGTGTTTCATGTATTTGTCATAGTTGTCCTCAGTGTTTCTTGTCCTGCCTCTGTGTGTTTCTCTCCATTTGTCTTCACCTGTGTTGTTAGTCTCACCTGTGTCTGATTACCAGCATGTCTATTTAGTCTCTGTGTTTCTTGCCCTTTGTGTCACTTCATTGTTGTATGTTGAATGTTAGTTGTCAGTCTAGTAGTGTCTCCTTGTTTTTACGTTTTGGATTTTGATAGTAAGTTTTTGTTTGCCTTTTTTGATTATTAAATACTTTCAGTTTATTCTGCACTTGGGTCCACCTCTCCTTGTTTTCCAACCATTCATGACAGATACGTTGGAAAATTCCATGACTTACTTCATTAACCATTATAAAGTCATTACATTTCAGCTAGAAACAATTCTAACAAGAAAACCATTCTGACCTCTTCCCAACATATGAAGAGGAGAAAAAACAATCTGTGTGCAGAACTTTGAAAATGTTTTGGTATTAGCGTGTTTGTAGTTAATCAAAAGTTGCTGGTTTCTCCATAATACATCAAATTAATATTTTTGGCCATGTTTAACCGTTTAATAAAAAAAGTAGGGATTTGTAGATACAAATTAAACTTTAGCAAGGTCTTAAATAGATTATCTGCTATACATATTTCATTAATATTCAGTAATATATTCATAATATTACCAGTTTATCAGGTCTCTAATTTATATCAACACATTTAAAAAAAAAAAGAAGAGAAAAATAGCCCACATAATATAGCCTTTTCAGGATTAAAGGGTGAAAATGTTGTTCATGAGTTACATCTAACCCAGGGATGGGCAACTTTGGTCACAGCAAGGGCCACATTAATTTAATTCTCACTGCCAGGGGGCCAAATTGTAGGATACAAAAAAGATTCAAATCAATTACGTCTCAAATTTAACTCAACATATACCAGTGATCAAATATTATTATTGTGTTTTTGGTTTTCATGATTTCATGCCAGATGGCTTTGATTTTGTTTTCTTAATTTTTCCAATTAATTGATATGTAAAAATTTACCTGAGGGCCACGTTGAGGGTTGATGGGGGCCGCATGTGGCCCCCGGGCCGCCAGTTGCCCACCCCTGATCTAACCCATAAAGCAATAATAAACAATGTAGCCATACATGCTTCAATTCAAGTTATTGAGCTTTTAAACGGCCCACAATAGAGGGTAGACTGAATATATTAACAGTCTAGTTGTTGTTTTGAATAAAAAGATGTTGGTCAATTTTTGTTTTGTCGTGTTTGTGTGTGCGTGTGTGCGTGTGTGTGTGTGTGTGTGTGTGTGTGTGCGTGTGTGTGTATATATGTATCTTCGAGTGTGCTGTTCGTTAGCCTGGGCCATGCTCGTGCACCGTGTTCATTCATGTACAGTATATTCAATCCGCGAACGCGCCTTTCTTATTCTGAGGGAATTACGTCATCGCACTGCCCAGGGTGCTGCAGTAACTTGCGAGCAAAAAGCTCCAAACAGGCTACTGTTGAGTGCACTGCTGTGCTGTTCCACAATGAGGTACAGACTGACTAGCTGAGCGTTGACCAAACTTTCTCTGAGCTTTAAAAAAAACATGTCACCGTTAAAAGTAAAGAAATGTGTAGTATCTTAATTTGAAGGCACTAGAGATATTTTTTAACCGTGTGATGAAATTATACACTAAAAAAAAAAGCAATATGAATGGCACAAATCATTACATCACAGACAAGTCCCATAAAAATATGTTTTATTAACCAGGAATTGTAAGTAGCCTATCCTACTTTTTTTTTTTAAGATTAAGAGCTGAGCAGAAAGTGAAAAAGAAAATGTTACAATTAGTGAGAAATAAATAAAAAAAGCTACAGGAGGCTTTGCCTTTGCGGTCCGTTATGTGTGGGGGCGGACCACTACAGGCGCGCACAGCACGACGCGCGTATCAGAGCCAGCGCGTCGGCAAATAACCTCATTCTGCAAACTGACTGTTATTTAGAAGGTCTTCTCTTCTCCCGTCGGTTTGAACAAGTGACACAGAAGAAGTGCGATCCACAGCTCCAGTACCGCCATGGCTGCGCTTTCCGGAGGAGAGATGTGCATCAAATACCTGATGTTTACCTTCAACCTAGTGTTCTGGGTGAGTTTACAATCGAGGAGATGTATTGTTCTCAATTCAAAATGTGCATCCTGTTGGTCGTCTCTGTGTGTGTGTGTGTGTGAACGTGTGTAAGACGTGCGTGCAATGCGCGTTCATGCGTGAGCTTACGAGCCTATAGTTAATGAAATGATTCGGTGTCCCAGATGCAGAATCGTGCTGAGCGTTCACACACAGCCTCGGTCACTTATCACAGCAAATATTTAAAACGTGCCTCTCGAATTTATTTTTGGCAATGGCCACCATAAACACAGAGAGTGCCCCAATGCGTGTGGAGACCGAGTGGACTGGAACAATAATCCCCAGTGGCCAAGTGACCCAGTTCCTCAGCGCAGACTACTCTTTGGAGTTTGCGCGCACAGCATTTTAATAATTGCAACGAGGCAGAGAGAGAGAGATTGAGAGAGGCGTTTACTTGTGGAGGGGGAGAGTTACTGAAAAGCTATATTAATAATGTATACTTCTGTTACGTTGCGTGATGTGAAGGTTTGCGCATGTCACGGAGCCAGCCTCTCTGTCTGTGTGAATGAATCCTGGCTATCCCATAGGCTATTTGTGTCCTATACTTAGCCTGCAGGGTGTGTCTTGTCGCGTCTGTTTGATTGTGATCTGTGTATGTGAGAGTCAGTAAGTGTGGTTTAGGATGAACGTCTGCCCTTTTATGAACGTTTATCATTTCTGCAGCTAAAGATGGAGCAAATGCACCCGTTCTTTACAGGGTTGAACTGGGGTTCCCTAATCTGTCTGTGTGTGTGTGTGTGTGTGTGTGTGTGTGTGTGTGTGCGTGTTCTAAAGATTTACAGATGCAAAAACTGGATTTATAGAAACCCTGCATAGTCACTGACAAACAAACAAGGTGACCAACAACCAACCACTTGTCAATGTGTTTCTTTTGTTACTTTGTATAATCCACAATTTCCTGTCCAACATTTAGATTTTAGATTCAACACACAGTAAAACCCTGCTCTAACCTCAAGTTCAGACACTCCCCTTTTAATTTGGATGAAGCAGGAAGATGAAGATAGGACACATGATTATGTGGGCTTGATTCACATGACATAAATATCTGATCCGTCCACTTTGGACACAAAATACTGTCAACTTATGTCAGTGTATCAAGCAAAACAGGTTTCACTAACCTTGCTTTGATAAAAAAAAAAAAAAAAAACAGCTTCTAGGAAGTATAAATGGAAAGTATTCTTCTTTAACTGTCAATCATTAACTGTGGTCATAAACAGTACGGATAGCAGAGCATGTTGCTAGGCAGGTACTTCACTGAAGGTTTAAAGTCAACATGCCTCAACAGAGCCCACTGTGCAGCTATTTTAGCTCATAAACCACCTGCCCGCATGTAATGGTTAAACACAAACTCTGCATGTATGAACAGTGAGCTGAACAGAGAAACAGGAATTCATATCACACACACAAACACAATAGAGGTCAGTTTTGTGGGCGACACTGCTCGACAGCTCTCTTGCCACTCCCTAAACGGGATAATCGGGGGGGCGTGGTATTGCAAAATGCTTCCCTTTTCATTACATTTTCCAACTGACTGACACCATTACGCTTCTCTTCCTTCCTGGGAAGAAGTTAGTTGTTAAACCTTTGCAGCAGTGAATTGTGGCTATACTCAATCAGCATGGCTGTCACTGGGGGAATCAAGTGTGTGAAATATCTCATGTTTATCTTCAACGTTTTCTTCTGGGTAGGTGTTCGTGAATTTGACTTTGTAGAAGGTGTGTGTGTGCGTGAGAGAGAGAAAGAAAAAGAGAGGAAGAGAAGCTGTATGGATTAGCATTTTTGTGGCATGTTAAAATCTGCCATATTGTTGATACAATGTTGTGTTAAAAAACATTATACATCAGCAAAGAAAAGGTTGAAAGAGTCCTGTAATATACATAGATATACTAAACCTTTGAATGATCCTGATACTTAAGAGTTAGTCAGTTAGGCTCTCAGAGTTAAATATTCACTGACCTGCTGGCAGGGTTTGTAAGGGCCTGCACATTAGACGATATGGCACATGCATGGGACGAAATCTCTGAAGTTAAGACTTAAATCATTTGGTGAAATGCTTTGTAACAAGTGTCGACTGAGAACAGAATAGTGTTGCAGAATATAACCACATCCTGTCAAAAAACATGGAGCTCAGCGCGATGGTTTGATGGTTTGATGGTTTTAACATACTACCATTTCTCAATATAAAATGCAACTATAACGTAACATTTGTAATTTATTGTGTCAATAATCATTAATGTTTGATATATTGGTACCCAGGCGAAAAAACAACAGATATTACTACTGAGGAAATGAAAAGGCTGGAAACAGGAACAATCGTGATATGATCACTTAACCAGAATAGGATCAAAAATAAATAAAAATTCCTGCTGCTGGAGATGTGACGAAGGGGTTACAAGAAAAAAATGTTCAATAGTGTGTTGAAAGCTTATCAGTTTATTGACTTGCAGACAGGGCTTATGTCAGAAATATTCTTCTTCCTGTCTGAAAAATGTAATGCTGTGATCTCAAATTGAAGCACTGTATTGAAGTCTATACATGTTGTGCTGCTTCAGATTGCAGGTACTGCTGTCTTCGCTGTAGGCTTGTGGCTAAGATTAGACCCCAAAACCAAAGGCTTGTTTGAAGGACCAGACTCTCCATATGTTTTTTATACAGGTAAGACGCTTTCAGTCCTTAAGACAGTTTCACCATGCAATCACCCGTAAGCAAGTTTTGCTCCATGGGAGATTTTCAAAACACCAAATATGCTTGTTATTTCTAATACACTGTATGCGTGTAGGTGTATATATCCTGATAGGTGCTGGAGCACTGATGATGGTGGTGGGTTTTCTTGGATGTTGTGGGGCAATCCAGGAGTCTCCCTGTATGCTGGGACTGGTTAGTAACACCCCTTTTTTCACTTCCATTTTTGTTGTATTTACTTGTTTCTACTAAAGATTTTAACTTATCAAAACTACAGTTCAATTCTCTTTGAGTACTTTATACCCATGATTTCACTCGGTACAGCTCCCAGACTTGTTAGCAGGTGTGGGTCTGGGATTGAGCTTGGCGCTCGCTAGGAAATATGAGATGTCTGCCTTGTACATTGTTTACTGAACAGTGTCAAGGCCAGTCTCTAGATTTCCCTGTACTTGTTCCCTCCCTCCCTCCCTCCCTCCCTCTCTGGCCCTAATCTTCTAGCACTAAATCTCTCGGGAGGAGGAGTCTATGTAAATTGTGTTCAGCTACACTTAAACGACCTTACTTGTCTACACATGCATACAAGACATGCGCACAAACTCACACTCTAATCTGAGTTCAATTTTGTCTACTCCTTTGTGCAGTTCTTCTTCTTCCTGCTTATCATATTTGCCATTGAGGTGGCAGCTGGTATCTGGGGATTTTCCAACCAAAGCAAGGTAAAGTACAAGTTTTAGGTTTGTTGCACTAATAATTACACGTATATATGTATATTTAACACATTAACAGCAGTTTCCACTACGTTGCATAGATACAAAATCACAAAATCACAATATTAAAAGAACCAGTTCTTGATTGTATTTGTATTTCTTTGCTGATGTTAAACAATGCAAACTCTCCCCCTTTGCTGGATCAATAAAGATTGATCTAATCTCTGTGTCGCGGTTAAGAATGAATAATGACAAAATGTTGCTTTAGTCTGATATTGTGTTAAAACTTTCTTTCGGCTTGCTACTGTCTTGCAGGTGGTGAATGACATCACAACATTTTACATGCAAACCCACAACAACTACAAGGCAACAGGGGATGAGCGCCTTAAAGAGACACTAATTGTGATTCAAAAAGGGGTGAGCCACGTCTGACACATTTCTGCTTTACCATGGTACAGACTGCCTCAGGTTTTGTCCGTTCACTATCAGATTGTATGAAGTTCACTATGCATGTTGTGTTGTTTTTAACTTCTCAGAAACAGTTATGTAAAAATTGTTTTTTATGCAAGTCAGGTTAATGGAGGAAACATGTTTTATATGTGTTCAGTATTTCTATGAAGCATTTTTTCTAGTTGCATGGCCAGCTTAGTGATGACAGGACCTCAGAAAATAGAGACCGAAAAAAAAAAATGTTAAGCTGTTTCTTATCAGCACTGCAAGTCAGAGATATGTTTTATGTTGTGCACGTCACAGAGATCTAAATGACAAATCTTTTTGTGTTTACAGCTGAACTGCTGTGGACCAACAAATAAACCACAAGATGCTGCCAAGGACACCTGCCCCCCTCGAGACCTGCTTGAGGGCCTCATTACAAAGGTACAACTACCCTCAATTTGTGTTTGTATCGGATGCCATCACCGTCAGGCACTTCAGTGAGGAAACAGGAAATGAAAGAAATTGTAATTACTTGTGAAAAATGAAAACATTCAACATCTTTTAGGAATGATTCAGCTCCGCCAGAGAGAATACAGATACTATTTATTAAATATTAAATTATGACGTGACACATGTTAAGGGTTGATTAGTTTTTTTCTCTGCAGACTTTTACCCTATGCCTCTTTGCAGTGTTACTACGGCAACAATGGTTTACTGGAGCCTGCACGCTCTCAGGCTGTCTGTAACCACTCACAAAAAGTCATGTACAGCATAGCTATAGATAAGCTGGAAGGAATCTTTTGTGTTGCAGAGCTGCCCTGATGCCATTGATGAGGTGTTTGACTCCAAACTACACATCATAGGAGGAGTGGGCGTCACCATTGGTGTTGTTATGGTGAGTGTGGGATTGGCTTCACTTGAAATCGTCGATAGCATGCGCGATTACAAACAGAATTAATGAAGGCCTCTTGATGTTGCAGGTGTTTGGGATGATCTTCAGCATGCTCCTGTGCTGCGCCATCAGGAAGTCTCGGGAGGTGGTGTGACACCCGCCATGACACCCTAAACTCTTTGTTAATGTTGCATGATGTTTTTCCTCGAGTCCCATGACTCTACACTGCCAATAAAAACACAGCTTGGCCAAGGGTGGAAACCCAAGACAGGCCGGGTGCAGACATTTTCATACTATTTCATTATACATTAATAACAGCCGAGCTGCTGACACTTAGGCCCACCTTACTGGAATATGTTAATGCAATGTGGTAATTTGGCCCATTTATAATATGGGTGTCATCTGTGCTTCAGTGACTATGTAGTACAGAAATGTGACATCTTGTGGTCATTTGATTGAAATTAGTGTTTGTGAACAGCTTATTATCTAAACAAAAGATCGTGTTGTGTACTGGTCACATTTTGCACCTACTGGCAAGAAAAGTCACAATCTAGGGCCATCAAAAACACCCGCCATCACGTCAGCACAACACAGCAGTAGCCAGTGCAACTCTACCATCCTCTTCTTAAGACGCAGGAGTCAAACCTTGGTGACGAGAAGCCAATTGAATACTGAGCCCCCCCCCGCCCCAGTTAGATTAGAGTAGCACTTTGGGTTTTTTCATTGTCACGATTGATTTGTTCCTTTTATTTCATCCTCTTTACAAAATTGCCTTTCATTTTGTCACTGTTTTGTTTTTTAAATTTGTTTTTTTTATATATATATATGTAAAACAAAAAGTATGCACTTAGCTGGTTCTATGCTAAATTGGTGTGAATGATGTATTTTATAATGTCATTATCATTTTAAAGAAATTGAGTTTATTTATACCATATGCACTGTTTTACAGAGACATCAATTAAAAGAACCAAATAAAGTAAAAAAAAAACAAAAAAAACTGAGTCGACTTTGATGGAGTTATATATTCAAAAACATGCAAAAACATAAATACAGATTTTTCAGTAAACAGTTAAATCAACTATTTTGTCTTCGGTTATTCCTCTTGGGTCACTGAATAAAGTTTGCTAATTTTATTGCAAATTCTTTATTCCTATATTGAGGCACTATGAGACAGACTCTGACCTGTGTGTAACATTTACTGGTAAAGGATATTGAGGGCATTTGAGGGTTACAAGGGTATAGGTGCTTGATAAGCCTGAAAACAACTTCCAGGTTCTATTTATAGTGTACAGTGCAAAGAAAACATGATTTCCCATCTCCCCTGTTTTTATTAAGTGTGACTCATGTAGAGTTTGAGCAAACATAAGAACAAAGCCAAGACCTGTCTCTGTTCCCAAGTTATCCCATCACAAATAATTTACGGAAAATGTATCTTCAAAACAAGGCGCAAACACTGATTACAGGACGCGTCTGTGTGTGGCAGTGAGTGTAGTTCGTTTCAAATGACTCACTGTTTCCTCAAAACAAGGTGAGAATAAATTTGACGTTCTCACCATAACTGTTTTAGGAAGTTAACTTTGATTTGGTTGTTGACAGTTGGGTGTGGCTCTCTCAGACAACCCGCCCCCCCACTTTGTAGATAACACTGATTATAAAAAGAAGTGTGTATATTTATGAGACGAATGACCTTTGAGGCTCTGTGTGATTGCCTTTTGTTTGACAAAAGTGTTCTAGCCAAAAGAAGAGGGCAGGAAAACTGAGATAAGAATGTGAAATTTAAAAAAATCAGCAATAACAATGAGAACTAAAGAGGAAATTTGCCAAAATCAGCACCGACATACGCACACTATTTCCCAACCAAGTTGATGAACACCGAACTATTCAAAAACAACTGTAGCCTGCAGCCTTAAATCATCGATTTTAATGTGAAAATTATTTCATATACCACTAAAATGATACACAAGTAAATACTGAGGGAAAATGTAAAAACCTTAAGAGGGACACAATACAGAGTCATTCCTCGGCCTCCTCCTTTGCACCCTCACAGGAGTTATTTTCATGTTCTTCTGACCGTGAGGCGGTGCGTATGTGCAGCATAGCGTCCACCTGGAGAAGACTTGAGAGACACTGCAGCACGGCTAGAAGCAGATTGTATTTACAGCTGACGGACTCGAGGCCTGAGTCAAACATAAACGCCTCTGATGGCATGTCAATATCTTTATATAAATGCATGCTCTGTAACCCTCATCTAGAGTGCACTCACTTGTATCCTCACACTCTTTAAGAACTGTATCCTGTTCTAGTTTGTCTGCAAAACCAGAACGTTGGGAATGACTTTGAACTAAACGCAGGAGCCTGGTTTGAGTCTGCAGGAAACATCGTGGACTGTGGGAGTATATCTGTCTTGGCACACTCAATAGAGCGTTTGCCAGCAGCTGGGAAACAGCAAGGATATCCATATCTGTTTCATCAGAAGCCGAGCAACTGTGGCCATGTTGGAGGAGGGCATGGTGTAAGAGAAATTCAAATATCCCACCTGCAGGTACAACACAGCCTGGCATCGACAAACAACGCTGGGAGGAAGTGGAATTTGGGATCTGTTTCTCTGCAATTGAAGATTTGCTTTTGTTACACTGCAAGGTCCTCTTTGATGCCGTCATACCCGTGGGCTCCCAAGTTGAAAGTAGCATGCGGATGGCATCGTGTAATGCACATGCATATTGGTCCGTTTGCCCTTCCCCTGCGCCACAAATGATCAGACTGCAGGGTTTGACAACGGGCCTTTTGTCCGAGTCATGGAAAGCAACATGAACATACCTGTGGAAGAAAAAAGAATTCACTTTGACCTGCACAAATCAAACTGATGAGAAAACAGTTGTAAAAAAAAAACAGGAAATCCTGCATGTGTGTGAAAACAGAAGTATAGTTTCCTACCTGTGTGCTCCTAGCAGTATTGGACGGCAAAAGGTCAACGTAGCAATGTTGTCTGGTTCAATCATCCAGCAGTCTGCGACAGGTTTGGCTCCACTTAGATGAGCAAAGAGAGACAATTCATCTTCACTGACACACTCGACAATGCAAATCTTTGCCTGTGCAGCTAAGGCCAGGACAGCAGCAGACTGTTTCACAGCAGAGAGGATCACAGAGACACCCACACTCTGCAGGTTTGCAATAGCACACTCTAGTGACTTTTCTGCCCATGCACTAAACTGAACAATACTCCTCTCCTTCCTTGAATTCTCAGCTGTCTGTTGATCGCCACATCCCAGCTCCAACACCTCTCCTGCACGGAGCAGTGTAGGCTGCAGGCAACCAGTCAAAATGACAGCTGCTACTGGTGGTTTGTCACTTCGTATGCAAGACGTAGCAAAGTCTCTGTGAATGACCTGCCCCTCGATCAAACGTGAACAACTAATAGGGAAGCCTGACACAGGTGTATGCAACGTGGGCAGGTTGTCATTTATGAACTGTAGCGCTACGGAAGGATGATCATTTTTTAATTTCCAGTTATCGAGCAGTTCACAAGTGAGGTGGCTGAAAAAGTCACAGTGTGTTTGACCCAAACGTGAATGAAAGAAAGATGCCAGCAGCTTTTGAACACAGGGAATGCTTTTGGGAGGACGTGTTTTTAAAGTGAAATCCTCTCTGGGGAGACAGCATCCATATGGGACCACTCCCACGGCAATGAGGTCATCGAGGTCCTCCAAAGCAAACTCCAGCAGTCTCTTAGCCAAGTGTCTGGCAGTAGAAGCCACCGCTGCTTTCCTGGGGTTGTAAGTGTGAGACACATTAGGCTCCTTGCAGGCTGTTGCATGAATCATCCTTAGTAATGACGCCAAGAGAAGGATAAACGTCTTAGATCCATCGCCTGTTACAGTGCTGTGATTTAAGACGGACGCCACGATCATCCTAGAATGAAAAACACACAAATCAATAAAAATAAAAAAAGAGAAACATGGTGCATAGCTAGTGTCACACTGAAAAAGTATTTTAGTTACCTGGCCAGTGGATTTTCCAGACGTAGTGCTGTAAGAATTTTCGTCCCACTGCGGCTCAGCATCGCCTGTCCTGTGTCTCGGGTAAACAGCACCTGTCCCCCTTCAGGTCCGAAACTGCTGAGGACAACTGACTCCAACACGGATACAGTCTGCAGAACATGTTCCAGGTGGGGAAGTTGAGCCACGGGCAGCATCATCACACACTGGCTGGAGGATCCAACTGTAAATAACTAAACATAAACATACATTTTATAAACAAGAAACCCACCCATGATAGTTTGTTAAAAAAAAATCAATAAACACACATCAAGAAATGTATTTTGAAAACAAAAAAAAAGGTGATTTTACATACCAATCTCTTAAATTATGGAAAATTCAGGAAACAGTTTCTGGTGAAAGGTTGACCCATACTTTATCACTAAAAGAAGAGAAATATGTAACTCTGACACTTAGCGTTTAAAATAGGTATTGCAGCCCAAATTCAAAACATTGGAGAGAGCAGTCTGTGGAGAACTGGTTTGTAATGAGCACCGAGCTAAGTTACGTTGATAGAATTAACATGATCTATCTTAACTAATGCAATGACCTCGCTGCTCATATGCGCGTAATGTGAAAAAGCTTTAACGCCCAATTTTTTATGTAGAAAAAATAATTCATGCATTGTCGTGAACGTAATACTTTAAACCAAGAGAACTCACCATGAGCAGGGACGCTTCATCTGTGTCCTGGAGACGAGACTTCCTCTACGATTTACTGCGCACATACAATATGGATCAAAGAGGAGTGCTGCCGCCTATCGTGTGGAGGGGTGCCTTGTTTTTCTATAACGGATCATTAGTATGAGGGACAAGAAATGACTAAAGTATAAATAAATAAATAAATAAATAAATGCTGGGAGAAATGCATACAATAATGTATAAATAATTAAATAATTAAATAAATGCATCAATAAATAAATAAATAAATATATAAATGCTGAAAACAATACATCAATGAATAAATAATAAATACACTTTGTTAATGAAAAAGGCTATTTATATATTATTACATGTATTTATTCATTTATTAGCGTATTTCTACAGTTATATATGTATCAACGCATACATTTCCACATTAATTGAGTTCTTAATTTATTTCCATATTTTTACATTTACACATCTATTTATTTCTGTGTCCAGGTCGTAAGAGGAAACGTATAAAAGTAAATTTGCTTCTGTCTGTTTTTCAAAATTAACCAATCCTACTTCAGTAATTTTAGGACGGCCCACTTAATTTACATATTTACTTTTCCTTGTACAACATGGACACAGAAATACATAAATATGAAAAATGTACATTTTTACATGAATTGTAGGATTTATTTATATATATATATTTATTGATGCATTTATTTAATTATTTATTTATTCATACATTATTGTATGCATTCCTTCCAACATTTATTTATTTATTCATTTATTTATTTATTCATACTTTAGTCATTTTTTGTCCCTCATAATTAGTAGTGTACAATTGACTGTGAATAATTTAACAATCATCTCGTACCGTACAAAAAATAATATAAGTATGTTAATATGAACTTAATACATCTAGGCGTAACTTTCAGTGTCCCCCATGATCTACTTGTCGTTCATTAAAATGTTTGGCACAATTGCCTAATTTTTAAGGCATAATGACAGTTTAAAATCAAATCTTAGTTTTAAACATTAAAATAAATAAGGTTGAATTCAGCAGAGCTGCATCTGTTCCACAGTTATTTTGTATGATGGCAAACTGTTAAAGCTATTGTTATTGTTTTTGTTGCTGATTTTGTTCACTATTTTTAACTTCTTAACAAGAACATGTGTTAGGCCTGTGATGTTTTCCTGCAAATTAAAATACATTTAAAACAAAATAATTATTTTAATAGCTTAATATTTTCCGTCTGTAGAGTTATTTTACATTTTGTTAGGTTCAGATCTAATTACCACAACGCAAGATTTCATAATATATGTAACAGTTTTGAACTGTGTGCCAGTGTGTGTGATGATTACTTTGACCTTTGTTCCCAAATCCTGTTTTAACAGATATATAAAATATATAAAATGCATTTCCCTTTTAGTTTGTGTAGCTTTGTTGTACTTGTCATGTTGTGTTTCTTTGAGTGCACGAATATGGTAATAAAGAAAAATGAAAAACACAGAATGTTCCTGTATACTGTAGGTAAGCAGTCTTGGTGAATAAAGCTGATTCTTATAGAATTTTGAAATTGTTGCCATGATAGTAATGAATGCTTCAAATATGATTGCAGTTTTAAAAAATGTTTAGTCTTAAACATGTTTGCTTCACACATCATCATCAGCCCAGAAGATCTATACAATCATCACAGAAGTGGACACATAGGATTTCATTGAGTCAGAATGCCATGAAATGTGACATTTAATCTCAATGTCCCCTACTGTACCTCAGTAATGTGGTTGAAAAATGTGTACAAAAGGTTATATGAACGAGCAGAATACAGACTCAACCATCAAGCAAATTGATTCCTTGTTGGACTGAAATTAGTCAATCTTCAACACATTGTTTAAAATGCAATGTTTTAATGACTCTCGCAGACAGGGAGTTTTTGCAGGACATTATGCTGATCTTAAACTACAACTAAAACTACAATTAACTTCTTAAGCAGACACTTTTATCCAAAGCGACGTACATCAGAGAGTAAGTACAACACAAGCAAGGATCTAGAAAAAAGGGAACAATGTCAGTAAGAGCAAACGATCAGCTTTGAGTCTGATTGGACACACAGGTGCTGACAGGAAGTGACCAGAGGCAAAGCACAACATTGAGGGCAGTTCTTGAGAGCTCTAATCAGTATAGAAACCATCTTATAAGTCATCGTTTATCAAACAAAAACCATTGTCACAACCATCATCATCATCAATAATATGGAGACCATCACCATTAAGTTAGTAGGTTTTCATGAAAGAGCTGGGTCTTTAGCTTTTTCTTAAAGGTGCAGAGGGACTCTGCAGATCGAATGGAGTTTGGAAGTTCATTCCACCACCGGGGGGCGACAGAGGAGAAGAGTCTTGTCAGCGTCTTGCGACCCTGTTGTGAAGGTTGGATCAGACGCCTTTCATTGGCAGAGCGTAGTGGGCGGGAGGGAGTGTAGACCTGGATGAGAGAGTTAAAGTAAGGAGGAGACGTTTTTGTCACTGTTTTGTAAGCAAGCAGCAGAGTTTTAAATTTGATGCGAGCAGTAACTGGGAGCCAGTGTAAGGAGATGAACAGCGGAGTGACATGTGCTCTTTTAGGAAGGTTTGAAGACCAGTCGTGCTGCTGCATTTTGTATCATTTGCAGGGGTTTGATAGCGCATGTAGGAAGACCTGCCAGTAGAGAGTTGCAATAGACGATGCGTGATATCACAAGAGCCTGTACCAGGAGCTGTGTAGCATGTTCTGACAGGTAAGGTATGATCTTCCTGATGTTGTACAGGGAAAATCAACATGACCGGGCCATCGAGGCTACTTGAACCTTAAATGTTAGCTGGTCATCAATCATGACACCCAGGTTCCGGGCAGACTTTGCGGGCATGAGTTTGGTTGTTCCAAGCTGGATATTGATCTGTGGTTGCATAGAGGGACTGGCTGGGATGACAAGGAGCTCAGTCTTTGAAAGACTGAGCTGAAGGTGGCGTTCATTCATCCATTTAGAGATATCAGCAAGGCATGACGAGATTCTTGCAGAGACTGTGACATCGTCTGGTGGGAATGACCGGAAGAGCTGGGTATCGTCAGCATAGCAGTGGTATGAGAAGCCATGAGAGCGGATTATTGAACCAAGTGAGCTTGTGTATATGGAGAAGAGAAGGGGACCAAGCACTGACCCTTGAGGTACCCCTGTGGATAAACTGTGCTCTTTGGACACTTCTCCTTTTGACGACACTCTAAAGGATCGCCCAGAGAGGTAGGACACAAACCAGCAGAGGGCAGATCCTAAGATGCCAAGTTCAGAGAGCGTGGATAGGAGGATTTGATGGTCGACTGTGTCAAAGGCAGCAGACAGGTCTAGCATTAATAGAACTGAGGACTGACCCGCAGCTCTGGCAGCTCGTAGCGATTCTGTTACTGAGAGTAGTGCAGTTTCAGTAGAGTGGCCCCGCTTAAAGCCTGACTGATTTGGGTCTAACAGATCATTTCTGGACAGGAACTCAGAGACTTGCTTAAAGACAGTGCGCTCAAGTATTTTTGACAGAAAGGGCAGAAGAGAAACCGGTCTGTAGTTTTCAATCTGGGCTGGGTTTAGTGTGGGTTTTTTTAGCAGAGGGGTGACCCGAGCTTGCTTGAATGCGATGGGGAACACACCCATTGACAGAAAGGAGTTGATGACATGCTTAAGTGCAGCATTAAGTGGAGAGGAAATGGTCTGCAGGAGGCTTGATGGTATTGGGTCCAGAGGACAGGTGGTGGGCAGAGAGTCTAGCACAAGCTTAGAGACTTCATCCTCAGTCAGAGAGGAGAATGAGTCGAGTGAGGCACTTTTGGTTGGTGCCTTTGGGCTGAGTTGGTCAGGCTCAGAAAACTTTTTACTGATGGTTGCAACCTTTTCAGTAAAATACGAGGCAAACATGTCTGGTGTGAACAGATCGAAGGGTGGAGGAGGAGGTGGTTGAAGCAGCGAGTTAAAAGCAGAAAATGTTTTTCTTGTATCTGTGGCATTGCATATCTTGTTCTGATAATATGTTGTCTTGTTGTTTTTTCAGGCTGGAGGAGAATGAGACAAGTCTTTGCTTATAGTCATTGAGGTCAGCGGACTGTTTGGATTTTTGCCATTTTCTCTCTGCTGACCTCAGCCCTGCTCTTTGCTCTCTTATGACTTCAGTGAGTCATGGACTAGGGCTGGTTTGGACACCAGAGGGCAGAGCTTGTTCAGAGATGAGGCTAGCAAGGAGCAGAGGCCGTATTCGAATTGCCAAGTACATACTCAATCTTTCAGTAGGCAGTATGTAGTACATATTATCCGTGCTGCATACTGTTAGTACCTACTATTCAGTAGGTGCACACAGTAGGCAGATATTTGTGCCTACTTCTTTTGATTCATTCAGTATGGAAGTGACGTCATTTACGTTTCCCAAACCAGCCGCATTCACCCATTTTTATTTTCTTCTTTTTGTTTAGCTTTATTCAAGAAGAGTAATGCGCATATACAGTCAGGTAAACAAAAAACAATATCACACTGTAAATCAAGTCAAAGGCAGATTAAATAACTAAATAACATACAGTACATAAAGGAAAGTACAAATGAAAGACAGTAATATACAGAATATAAAATAAATCAATAAAGACACATTTAAATAGTGAAATCATTATTTAAATAGAGGGGGAAAGGTTTTATAATAATGCAGACATTTCTTATATTTTCTTTTGTTAATTTAAAGCAGTGATTTCAGTCGGGAGTTTAACTCTAGATTAAAAATTTATTAAATTAATCCACGCTCGTTTGTTTTGATTTGGAGGCGGACGTGAAGTGACGATTTACATTTAATTTCGCACAGCATTGTGGGTAAATTACAATTCATTTCCTGAAAGCACGCATCCGATCCATACTGCAAGAAACCCGGAAGTTAGTATCCATACTGAAATGTTCAGTATACTGAGGTGGACCCAAAAAATGCATACTGAATGACTACGAAAGTGCAGTATACTGAAACTCCATACTGAATAGTACGTTCTGCATACTGAACTGTGACAATTCGGAAAGGGCCAGAGTGTGTCTGTAGCCTCGTCTGTAGAGAGTGCGGTAAAGA